TATATATATATATATGTGTGTGTGTGTGTGTGTGTGTGTGTGTGTATTATACAAATATATAAACTAGAAATATCAGGGAATAATGTTTATGATTTGTGACTATGCTACATTTCTTGTAATTGAGTAAATTCCTCATCCTGTCATTCCAGTTGATAAACATTCTGTTGGACGTGTCTATTTTGAATGTAATTGTAACAGCTAATTTTAAAATTCTGAAATTTGCTCAACCCTGACCTACATACAGGCCTAAAAATAACACATTTCAGAGAAATATGAATCAGAGTTGTTATGCTCATGCGAGCTACTACGGTATACACATTCACATAACCTTAAAATAGTCTCATCTCACTATACTTCTCTCCTCCTGCTTGCTCTCAAATCTGCGCATCCATTCAGAAATCAATTCATTCTCATCGGCACAATCGTACTATTGCACTCTGTTCATCTGACTTTTTTCCAGCACAATGTTTTCCAGAGGCTGTGTCCCATATGACCATGAGAGCATAATCTCCCTGTGGCCTCTTTCTCTCTGGCTTTAAGCCCTCCAATCCATCCCATTAGTTACTACCACTGCACATCTGTCTGCAGCTGGAGGACTGACAGAGCAATCCATCAGCGTTGTTATTTCTGAAACCAGCTTGCAAACTGCAACTTTGAAGCACCTGAATTCTCTTAATGGAATAGTTCATCTGAAAATTTAAATTCTGTCTTCAGTTTACTCATGAGCAAAGTGTTATCTAATCATGAATCAATCTATGAAAAACGTTATAGTACACCTCTCTCCAGTTGGCTGTTAAAGTCCTAAATAATGAGCAAAGTTCAAAATTATGAAAGCATGTAATAAACTGGAGAAAAGCTGCCAAAGACTTGTCTAGTGCTCGTAATTACTTTCACTGTGCTCAGTTGAACAGCAGACACCAAACAATATGAAATACAGGCCTTGCTTTCATACTGCAGGGAGCAAATTAGTGGTAGGTGCCACTCTGTCTAGTGCTTTAGCTGCTGCTGTCAGTTCACTGTGAAGGTCATAGGTTGTGCATGGGATTTGCCTCTGCATAATTTAAGTCTCACATGTAACCCTGTGCACTGAGATGCAGGGGTTCAGGACTAGAGCTCTTGAGTATATTCATGGAGATTAATGTAAACCCTCATCGGGATGATTCTAATCGTTACTGCTGCTATATGAGCTGAGAAGATCTAATACAGCATACTTGTTGTTGCATTCAAAGCATATGATTCTTATTTAATATTTGAGGTTGGTAGCAGTAAACATGTTTGAAATTTGGTAAAACTAACAAATATAGCACTGTAAGTCTTGCATATCCTGCACCCTCGAAAACCCATGAACATAAAACAGCTACATGGAGTCAAACTAAAATTGAATTCAACTGAAATTAAAGTTAGAATTTAAACTGCTCTATCATATTCCTTTTTACATTATGAATTAGATTGATTAATAAGTGTAACAAATAGAATGCATACATTTGATTGATTGGTTTGCACAATGTTCAACAAGCATTAGAAATTAATTTCTAATGTGTCATGTCATGATTATGAAGGTGTCATGTCAGTTTTATGCACACTCCTTCAAGTAAAGTGTAACCATTAAGACTTTACATTTTAAACGTCTTCCATGTTCAACAAGCTTAAGCAGATTTACAACTCAATTCTAAACGCAGCGTGCAGACACGGCATCTCCATCTGATGTATCCCATTCAAAATCGTCTGCTACACCAGCGAGTGGTAAATAATCCCGTTCCCCTCCCAACCACTCCCATCATCCGCACACGCTCCAATCCGCGCTCGCTCGCTCTCTCCGCCGCTACAGTGCGCGCTCTGATGCCGCAGCTCCGGTCTCTCTCTCTCTCTCTCTCTCTCTCTCTGATGATAACACAGCACAGTCATGGCGACAGTGACAGTCCAACCGCTCGCCCTGGAGCGAGGTGAGTACTGCCAAACGCACATTCATTCAGTCCACGCCGTTTCAGCGAAGCTGGTGCGCAATTCGTTTGTCGGATTTTTTTGCATTGTTGGACTTGGCTCATGGGCTGTTGGTGTTCTGGTGATGTTGCCTTCTCGGTTCGGCTTGTGTCCGTCAGGTATGATGGTGATGATGACGGTGATGCACAGAACACGCTCCGTGCTTCAGGATCCATTATGTGTGTGTGAGATGTTCATTGTGTATTATTCGGTTTATTTTAATAAAGCACTTTAGGCACGCGTTTGATACATGCACTTTGCTGATGCTCAAAGCAGCGCTGTGTGTTTTCTTTATTTTGTCCTTATTTCACTTTACAGAACTTCTCAGCGTGCCAAACTGAATTCGAGGCTGAGTTGTTTATATACTTCAATAAAATAAAACCGGATTAGATTACAACGAAGCGCTTGAATAATCTACTGTACGCGCGATGCTTCCTACAGCTGAAAGAAGAAATGTCATGTGGTTAAAAGCCTGCCTTATGGTTGTAACCTTGACGTGTCTTCATTTATTATCAGCATTATCAGAGCAGCCTGAGCGCAACAATGTGGGCCGATATGCGTATAAATAGCCATTTATAGCCATTCATTTATGTACGGTTATACATCAGGTCAAATAGTAGCCTAAGGAAACTCAAACCATAAAGCGTCCCCCAAGCAAAGCGATGGAGAGATATTTTTAGAGAAATGAGACACCTCTGGCATGTGCGCGCGACGCGCTGTGGATATGTGGAAACTGTATATTGCTTCAAAACTAGTAGCGATGTCCGATTGCTGAACGAACTGTTGTTTCGAGTCGGATCTTTACAACGAATCAATTGAACCGACTCACAAACACTGTCTGATTCGATCCCAGCGGTTCTCGAAATATCTCCCTGACTCGTTGAACCGAGAACCAATGAGTGAACTGATAGTAAGACCATTTAGAACTTAAGTAACAGCCAAAATGTAACAAATAAAACATACTTATGCATTGATTGTATGACAGTTTTATCAACACGTACAGAACATAAGTAGTTTTAATAAACAGCTTTTTGTTAAAAACTGCAACTTTTTAATCCAAGAGAAACAAGTGAACTAGTTTAATGTACATGCAAATGGTTATTAAAAATAATAATAATAATAATAATGAACCAAATCTAGCTTGCCTACATAAACATGTAATACACCACAGCAGGTTGTCATGTCATGATGACACAGAAGAATCGCTTAATTTTTTTTGGGTGAAACTGGTTATTTTAAATGAACTGTTTGAAAGAACAAGTTCATAAACATGAGTCTGTCTTCACATGACTAAATACTAGGCTTATTATAATTAAAGATACTGTTTGCACTACAAGCAATACAATCGTGACTTTGACAACCCATTCATCCATTTAGAACATTAATAAGATTGTTCTAGGTTCGTCACGTCGCTCATTATGTTTTGATTTGTTTGCACTATACATTGTCCAGTGTAATAGATCATATAATTAGAGCTAACAGGAATCCATTGCATTGTTGTATTGCATTAAAATGTGTTCTCATGATTTGTATTTTCTTGTAGATTTCATGTGGGCAAAGCAGGGCCCAGTAAACATCTTAACGCTGCTGGGTCTATGGGGGGCTAGCTACCCAATAATTTTGTCCGATGGCCCAGGGAGCACACTTTTGAAAACAACCACCTGCATTTTACACTAGAAAACCATACTGGAGAAACTACAAAGGGGGCCCGGTAGTTCTTATTCATTTATATTATTTAAACAAAACCTCCAGAAGCAATTAAATTTAAGTGGAAACAGATTTATTTTGGCGACATATTTGGAGCATTGCCAGAAACCCAAAGTAATTGTTATGCTTAATGACAGCACATTTAAACAGACAGATTTATGACAGCAGAAATCCAAAACACCACAGGCCTCACATTATTCAACAACACTTGCAATAAGCCTGCTATGCTTGAGGTTATACAGGCATAGTGAGGAGCCTGAGTTGTAGCTATAATTTGATCACAGACAAACTAACCTTGTGTGTCCCTTCATTTTGGGTGCGGCCAGTTAACTGAAGGTTGTGAGATTTTCCTGCTATTGTATTTAAATAACAGATGCTCAAAGATAAGAACCGCTCGCTGTGAGAGTGTTCATTGTGTAATCCAGGACATGTGGAGGTGTCATGTATGTACAATATAGAAATACTAATCTAGCAAACTAAAATCAATAAGATACTTTGTCAACATGTGTACAGCATAGACTCTAGAAACTCTAATCTAGATCTTAGATAAGGATGGAATGCATGCGTTTGGAAAACAGAACTGTACTAGACTTATCCAGAAGGAGAGATTGAAATCAGGGAATATATGAATTTTGGAGTTGTAAAACCTGAGGATGTCTACTGAGGACCAGTAGGGCTGAACGATTTTGGAAAATAATCTGCAATTTTTTTTTTAACCAATATTGCGATTTAATATGCAATTCTTTTTTTAAAGCTCTTTATGTTCTGTATTATTCAAAAAAGACAAGCTATAAATCATTGTATAGTATGACCAACACAATATTAGATCGATTAAACATAAATGTTCTTTTCTGTAAGCCAGGCCTATATGTTATGATGAAATTAGGTGAATTGATATGAATGACATTTTTATTTAGCAACTACAATCACAGTATATTGACTGATTTGTTGAACTTCCAACCTTGTAAGCATGTAATAATTATGACAACATAAAGCACTGACAAATAAGCCTGGTGTAAACATTAATATGAAAGTCAGTAACAAATCACACAAACTAAAGTAGATTGCAGAAATATAAAAACAAATCTGTTGCTTTAGCACACTACTATAGGTAATTCACAGTCACTGTAATAAACATATGTAAACATGTGCACTGCACTAAACACTGTCTGTTAACTTTAGACCAGTGGTCCTCAAACTTTTTTGGTCGCGCCCCCTTTAAACCTATAAAAAAAATCTTGCCCCCTTTCCCGAATCCCCTTTCCACCTCAGACTACCAGATAGTTTCACTAAACATTATGAAAAATTGATACTTTTTTAATTTAAAAAAGCTTCAGGAAAAAAAAAACCCTGGATCACTTGAAACGTTGAAAAATAGCATAGTGAGAATAACTTATTATTATTATTATTATTCTCCCTGTTATTTATACATTTTTTGTAGGTTTCATGCTGTCTGCTAAGGCATAGGACACACACAGGCTTTCCTCCTCACCAACGACATTAAACACCGTGTCTACACCGGACACGGGCAGCAAAATACAGTAGAACCACTGATCTATATATAATTCTCTATTATAGATCAGTGAGTAGAACCCATTATAATCAGTGATGCTGTGTACACTGGATGCGGCGCGACGCAACACGACAAAGTTCAAATGATTTGCAATGGTCTCTTTGCTGTGGTCTACACTGGACAGCTGTTGTGGCGCGACGCAACAACTGTAGCGTCTGGTATAGACACGGTGAGTGAAGCTGAGAGCAAGATATGCCTCGTCATATTTTCTGCATTTAGCTTTTAAATGACCAGCACCTGCCTGGGTCTGTGCGACTTCATCTATGGCTTTTCTCTTCCCTTTCAGTCATGAAAGCTATTCACTGGTACAAAAGCTTAGAAGACTATTGCCAACTATAGGATGGTTATATAACTTGTATAATGTACCACTGAATTATATTGCATAAAATAGCAGTGATATAATCTTTCCTCTAGGCAAAAGCGTTTCTGAACATTTTCTGTCCACTTTAGTCTGTCCATTCGAAGATAAAAGCCCAGACCAGCCTGAGAATGAGATCAAGGGATCATATCTAAGACTATTTTTATCCGAACAAGAGTGTCTGTGTCACCAGTAATTGTGTGTATGAAAAAGAAAGGGTCTAGAAAGACCGACAGTGGTATCAGTTGAATTTATTTGTTTTGAAGATCTTGGAAGACTCGTGTCATATAGATTTTTGTGTTTTTGAAGTCCTCTTTTTCTATTCAGAAAGACAAAATTCATCCGAGTACTTTGCTAAATTAAACATTGAAGGTTCCTCTTTGACATCCTTGAATTTGAACAAATTTCTTTTGGAAGATTTTCAGAGAATATTGACCCGAAACAATATCAAGACAGTCATGAAAGCTATTCACTGGTACAAAAGCTTAGAAGACTATTGCCAACTATAGGATGGTTATATAACTTGTATAATGTACCACTGAATTATATTGCATAAAATAGCAGTGATATAATCTTTCCTCTAGGCAAAAGCGTTTCTGAACATTTTCTGTCCACTTTAGTCTGTCCATTCGAAGATAAAAGCCCAGACCAGCCTGAGAATGAGATCAAGGGATCATATCTAAGACTATTTTTATCCGAACAAGAGTGTCTGTGTCACCAGTAATTGTGTGTATGAAAAAGAAAGGGTCTAGAAAGACAGACAGTGGTATCAGTCAGACATCAGTGGACAAACGCTCTGTGAGGTCATTTGTGCAGGACTTGCATAGCTTGCCGTTTGAGCTATTATACTGCGAGGTGATTTATGTGCCCTTTGCCATTGGGAATGTCACAGTTGGGCCAATTACTGATAATTCACAGGGTTTGATAAAGTGAGGTCCTGGGATATGAGCCGGACACCAGAGAAGGGTACTGCTTTAGCTCCTGCTGTTTATTTCTGAACATTTTCTGTCCACTTTAGTCTGTCCATTCGAAGATAAAAGCCCAGACCAGCCTGAGAATGAGATCAAGGGATCATATCTAAGTCTATTTTTATCTGAACAAGAGTGTCTGTGTCACCAGTAATTGTGTGTATGAAAAAGAAAGGGTCTAGAAAGACAGACAGTGGTATCAGTCAGACATCAGGGGTAGAGAGACGGAGACTCGTGGGCATCGCTTGGTCAGAGAGAGAAAACCTGAGGACCTGAATTTGTGCCACTGGCAGTGTGTGAACACGCTGGAAGCGCTACTTTTGTTTTGTTCAAGTTTTGAGTTATTAAATAAATATC